TAGTATTTGTTTGTAATACAATATAATAATAATATATATAATATTATTAATATAATTATAGTCAAATGACTGACGCATATTTTTTAATTTATAGTATAAAAATTTGATGATCAAAATCAGCTGATATGGGTAATTCGTAAAGTTTGCTTTGATTTCAATTATGATTAGTCATTTTAGAACAGAGACAATAATAAAATTCTTCAAAGATTTTTTTTATTAGAACATAAAAGACAGTTTATTTAGGGAACATTATTCTTTCTACTTTTAACTTTACAAATATATTAAATCAAAATAAAAAAATTCTTACAAATTTGATCGAATGGTTATTGAAAAATCTTCGCTGGAAGTTTAAAGAAATTCAAAATTTTAAAAAGGATTTTTATCGAAATGATCTGCAACCTGGAATTTGCAGCAAATTAACTTCCGGGTATTCTTTGCGTTATTCGTCGCACGCTATTCTGTTCTATAGATAACAAGATACGCATCGTGCAAATGCAATGAGCTACATGCATCAACATAACACTTCCCACATACATGTGATTGGTAAAAAATGCACAGAGATAATGAGAAAATTGGCTAATCAGTTTATCTGTTATCAGTTATTGGAAAATATGATCATGAAATAAAGAAAAGATCATGATATCAGCATATTAGTACGTATTCTTGATCAATGCACATATCGTATCGCATAAAAGGGACATTTGCATACGGGCATCATTTTATAATATTAGGATTTAATTTCTTCAATAATCTCGTCAGACGAAATCATTGACGAACTATTTTGTTATACAAAAAATATTCCCATCACCCATAATTAGCACCAGATTGGTTGAGATAGCTACTGCATTTTTTTTTTTATATTTTTTTATGTCTTTGTCATCTCATTCGGACTGATCTTATCAAATTTTTATATCGGATAAATTCGTAAAGTGCCAGGTTTTATTTTTACAACCATTCCTTTTTTTGGGTTGTATCACCAGCACAAAATAGGGATGATAAAAATTTTGAAAAAAAAACTAAGTTCTTGGGACGGATTACTAGTATCATGTTTAGGATTCTTGCATTAAGTTTTTAGGTAGCAAGAGATGTTTCTTATTTGCGGTTACAGTAAATACGGTGCTCCATTTTAAGCAATATAGAAAAATTTTTTGATTTTTAATCACAATCTTATCATCGGTTTTTGATATTAACTACGTAATTAAATTCGTTATACTTTTAAAGGCTTTGTTATGTTTGCATAAATAAGTAATTTTTAATAATTTCTAATAATTTCTAATAACTTCTAATAATTCTAATAATTTCTTGCAAACAATGTCTTTTGTTCTTGGGCTCACATTTGTAGCAGTAGCCCTAACCTCCTAATCTGCATCCTAATATTCCTTGTTTTTGGATGGTTGTTTTTCTTATTGCGCTTATCGTACGTAATAAATATTAAAAGAAATTTAGCCGATTTTTCAGGATACAAAATTAACTTAAAGCTTTTCATTCAAGCTCTTTTATATTTCTATTATTTTCCTATTTTGGTATCTTCATTATTTCCTCGTAAACAGTTGTATTACTCTAGTCTCGAAATACGTAAGTTACGTAATTTAGATATACGATATTGATAATTGACAAAATAATATTAACGTTTCATTGTTTATGATAGCTCCAAAGCATGTCTGCCATTGAGTTAAACTGCCTCATTCATGGTGATACTCCAGACATTACTATATTTTTTTCAGTAGAATTAGATTCTGAAACGACTGTCAACAGGCTCAAAGAAATTATTAAAGAGAAGATTAAAGAGACGAAACAATACATTACTTGGGTTGATGATGTATATCTTCATCTGTGAAAGGTTAATGAACCAATTGAGAAATTGAATATCCTCTTTGACAGCCCCAATGCGGATATTAAAAGAAAGAGAGAAGTTGTTTATAACAACAGATAAGATTGCCAAATATTTTCCTTACAAGCTTAATGAAGAATATATACACACTATAGTTGAATTACCGGGCTACCATCGAACTCTTACAAATTGTATTAAAAGAATGAAATTGTTCCTATGGATAAGATCATTTTCAAAGAAGGTCCCCTCAATCTAGAAGGTGAAATTGTCTGCACTGATGTAGGAATTCGAATTAAGTTAGTCTATAAATCTGAAGAATTTATGCTGGATTCATTTGCTAAATTCATTGAACAAGTTCTGATAAAACCTTATGTCTGGTGCAAGAACACAATGAAAAACTTAATGGTGAGTGAAAATCCTTTATTATTAAAAATTCTATCGATCCTTAATAAATTGATTTATTTCTAGATCTATTTGCATGAGTCTGATGAGCAATTATCTTGGTCTGATTTTCGTGATCGGTGCTTAGTCAAAGAAAGTTCCACAAAAATTTAGAAGGTACATAAAACCCTCTTTTCATATATACGTTTTCCATTGCATACAGCATTCAGTTTCTACAATTTTTGTACGATAAAGAAATGAAAATAATTTGCATATAACACTATACTATATGCAGTGGCGTTCAATCAAAAATCGTTATATTGAATAAGAACTTAATTTTAATTATATTTAGAAGAAAAAAACCAATTTGTAGATAAATTGGAACGACTAGGTGATCGATAAGTTCATTCAATCCCAGACGAAACGGTTATCAGAAACTTTTTCTTGTTCATAGTACTTTCTCGAAAGAATTTCAAAGAGATGAAATATCTGCAATAAATTTTGGATTAGTTGATGGAAGAGAAGCTATAGTTGTTACTTTAGATCAACCAAAAGGATCATTATTACATTTTTATTCGCCATCTGTATATGAAGGCTTTCCGGTGATTATTAATTATGGGTTGGTCGAACCATTCAGCGAAATTACCATGAAAACTTAGGTCTGGTATCAGCATTGGACGTTTCAAAAATCCTCCAAATCCATATACATTACGTTAGGCCTATTAGTTCAAGTAAAACCGGAATCTGCTGCTATTGCCATAGGATCAAAGATTCCTACAGAATCAAAGAATGTCACAAGATCAAAGTAGAAATCTAGCAACGTTTATATTCTTACCACAAAACACAGAAAGGCATTTACATATAGCTAACACTCTTATGTTCAAAATTTTCCGAGTATCACATGTATTTGCTTTATAAACACTGGTTTAAAAATGTATTTATAAAAACATGTTTATAACCTTTTTCAAATCAAAGTTATGCAATTCATACAATATTATAGCATGTATCTCTATAAAGTATCCCCATGTGCTGTGAATTAAAAATTTCCGTAATATATGTAATTTATTCTCGAATATTAATCCTTAAATATGAATCTAAAATAAATATAAAAAACGCATATTTAAACGAGTAACTAATTTTTAGGCTAGGTGTGTGAATCAATTATAAAAATCAAAATCGATGATCGGATCCTCAAAATTGTTTTATTACGATTTGCAAAAAGGTGTAGCTGTCTACCATATCAAATTTCCCGATAGTAGATATACATACCGTATTTGCGCACGCGCGGTAATTTTGACAAATTTACCTTACAAGAGGAAGCCCTACTTTTCTTAATGAACTTAGCCTGAAAAATTCGATCAAAATATGTAGTATGGTATATTAAGGGGCGCGTTGTTTTGGGACGCACATGGGTGTTATTTTGAGTTAAAAAAAAAAAGATTTCAAAAAAATGGGGGTTTCAAAATAACGCTCATGTGCGTTATAACGCGCAAATAAGGTTTACATATTTCGTTTACAGGCGTGACCCACCCACCCAGGTCAGATATAGAGTTAGATTAATTTCGAACTCGACCATAGATAACTGGAACTTTTTTTTTTATTAATGCAATAGTGCCGGAAAATTTCAAAATTTCAAAATGTTTCATTGTGATTGGCTCGTCATCTTGTAATGTTTAAATTGGCACGTCCAATTCTGAGTTGCCATTAGCGATATATTTATTGGTTAGCATTATTTTTTTATATTTAATTTTACCTGCAATATTTACTTTTTAAAATTTTTTTTTTTATTAATGATTGTATGCTTGCATTTACATTTAAATGTATAACGGGGTATCTGAGCTAGTTGAGCTATTTAAGCAATCTGCAATGTTTTTTTTTATATTTATTGTAGTATTTCTATACATTTATTGTTTGATTTTAGTTCAAAGTTAATATTGTTATATTGAATATTCAAAAAAGACAGTGCAATATTTTTACGAAGTGCATTTGACAATGCTTTTCCACCTTCTGAACCAATTTTATTCCAAGAAAACCAGCAATTATAGAAATTATGGACCTTGAACAACGTGCTTTATATTTTTATAGAAATAATGTTCCTACTTT